AGTGAAAAATACAGTTTACATATCACTGATGTTGAGGAAGATTGCAAAACAATGGAGAACAAGAAGAAACAAGTTTCAGAAAACTGTTGGAATACCCAGGGAAGTATCTGTTCAAAACATTGCCAGGGAAGTATCTGTTCAAAACATTGCCAGGGAAGTATCTGTTCAAACATTACCAGGGAAGTATGTGTTCAAACATTACCAGGGAAGTATCTGTTCAAACATTGCCAGGGAAGTATGTGTTCAAACATTACCAGGGAAGTATCTGTTCAAACATTGCCAGGGAAATATCTGTTCAAACATTGCCAGGGAAGTATCTGTTCAAATATTGCTTGCCAGTGATTTGTTAGTAGTGCTACTACTGGCTATTGTGGGGGCCTGAAAGGGTTACAAATTTAAGCGTTGCCAACAATGGGAGAGACATACAATATATTTTGTTTGAACTAAAGGCTGGTTGTAATATTCTGTTAAGTTAAGGATATCAATCAGCCAGAGTCGTAATTACAATTATAGGGAAATAAATGTAGGTGATCCAATTATTTTCTCTGCTGGGGGCCCATCTTTTGTAGTTATGCCACTGGTTCAGAATGTCAAATTTTCTTTGTTAGTGTTGTTCATAACACTGTTGACTGCTCGAATCATGAAAAAACTCATTTTCTTCTTTGTCAAACTCACCGGAAGTAAGGAATAAATGGTTTATGTTACACTCTGTTTTATAGCTTTAGATTCATACACATTCGCGAGAAAAGAAAAAATCCTTTGTTTTGTATTAATAGAAAATAGCCGAATAAGCTGCTAATATCGCTTGTTTTCATCTTCAAACTTGTTGTTATAATGATACATAATATATCTTCGTTGGCCCTCTTTCACTTAAAATGCTCGTTAAATAATCGCCTCTTAAACATTTTGACGTGATCTGAAATCTTCGCGTGCACTTCACACGTGGTAGTTTAAAAGTCAGTAAATGATAATACAATAGTGCCCGTGTAACTAAACCTAATTGTCTTTTACATTTTTTATCACTGTTTCAAACTTCCTTTGCGGTTAAAAAATATATACAATTTAGTGCAAGGAGAGGCTGTTATTTTACCTCTGTGAATGTTAATAATCTGCGGGTTACTGGTTCCCTGTACTCCTTTTAAAGTAAGCTGTCATGATCCCAGGCTGGTTGCAGTGCCCTGACCCCCCCCCCCTCCCCACACCCACACACAAAAGCATAAACAAACATAGAAAAGAAACTGTCACAGTAAAATTCAATATTATAAAAAACACAAAAAAAGTCTTAGTGATCCCCCCCCCCAGAAAACAGAAAGCCAAAAATTGTGCCGTGTAGATATTCAATAGTATAATTTACCCTTCTTCACTAGTCATTAAAGTACAGAATGGTCCTTAGAAAGTTTGAACTTTTGTTAGGAGTTCAACAAGATTTGTGCTCTGTCGTGACCATAAGTTGAGACGGAAAACAACGTCTAAACTTCTGAACTTAACTTCGGTTTAATGCACGCTTCATGCACAGCCACAGATAAAACACAAATCTTAACATTTTTATGCGTGCTTTTGTTATTCGTTACCAGCTGTTTTAAGAAATATCTATTTTAACGATTCCTCATACTTACTTTTCCTGGAATCCCTCTATGAGAGTCGTTTCCTTGCCAGAACCGGCGGACGTACCCTCGGATAAACCCAGGTTTACTGTCTCGGTATTGAAACCCTGGCTTCCAAATTAGAGACCCGTATCCAAAAACCCACATCTCCCCGTGCTCCATGGTGTTCCCTATCTGCAGACAACAGCTGATATTCAGGATGTTTTTAGTACCAGGAACATGAGAGATGGTAACACATTCGTAAGCGTCTCTTATAGTGTGGATGTTATACACGTGGATCATTCACTTGACATCCTCTTATGTTTGCGTCACTAGCCAATCACTTGCGTCCTTTTTATCTACGTAACCAGAACCGCAGACCTGATGCAATACTGCTTGGGCTTGCACGAGATAATCGCGTTCTACCATGTTGTTGTTCGTTCAGCGGGGAAACGTGACGTCACGAACAGCTAAGGTGATTCCGCCAGGAAACTTATCATCAGGAATGCACGGAACTGTTGTTGTAGATTTTACGTGTAGCAGTGTTTCTTTCTGCAGCTGAAATGTTGTTTTTCTGTGATTAGGAAACCTTAGCGTGGAAATTCTGTGGCAGAAACTTATCAGTGGTTGTAAATAGTTGGAGAACCTTAAGCTCAAGGATTAAACTCACTTTACACTTTCGAATAACGTCATACAAATGTTGAGAGAAGGTGGACCTTATATAGTTTCATTACACGAAGTTCATTGACTGTGGAGCTCACAAGATCACAGTGAGGCATTAAACATTCATTCATAAACATATGATGATGTCACATAGAACTTCACAAATCCAAATCTGTTACCCAAGCATAGTTCAGAAGTGTGTAGACGTACGTTGATTATAGAAACAAAATAGTAAAACTATAAAACTTTGAATACGCTAAGTACTTTTTCACGGTTATCTGGTTCTGTATCTTCATCTACGATTAAC